GGGTGGCGGGGTGGGGGGCCGGGGCAAGAGGCCAGTCTGGCAAGTTCTGCACACGTGCCCTACCTCTCCGGTCCTGTTTGCTACCACTCAGCCAGCTACCGCTCCTGGTGCCCCGGGCACAGGGGACAACACCGCCCAGTCCCACACCATCCCCACCATCGGCTGCAGATCCGACCGCTGGCCGACCGCCAGGCCTTCGTTCCTCGCCCACCTTAGTCTGGAAGCTCCTCTAAAACTGTTCAGCATCCCAGGCACAGGCAGCCTCCGCTGGCAGGGGGGTGGGGGCGGCACAGGAGGGCCACTGGCCAGAGCTGGGTCACCCCTTGCCGCCTCCTCTTCCTCGGCCCCTCAAGATCTTTATCTAGCAAGGCCTTTAGAGAGTCGCAGAGCCCACATCCACGGGGGCTCAGGGCCTGTGCCGTGACATCATTTTGTAACTGGAGTTGGGTTGGGTTCTTGGCGACCCCTCCATGGAACACACTTGGGAAACAATGCTGAAAGGGCAGAGTTTCAGGAGCCTCCGGGGGGCATAGCCAGCCAGCCTCCCCGCAGTGCTGGGCAGGTGGCCACACATCCACCAGCCAGAGCCAGGAAGTCCGAGTGCAGAGCAGTCCCCGTTCCGCCTGGCCTCGCAGCGTCTGACCTGTCACCAGCGGTGAAGAGGCAGACGGCGAGGGAGTCCAGCCTGGGCTTGTGTCTTCCTCCTTGGCTCCATCCTTACGGTTCCAAATCCATGGCCTCCCTCCCTGCCCGACCTCCCCCTCAGCTTCTCGGCTGAGGAGATTCCATTCCAGGGGAACCTCACGAGCCACATCTGTCAACAGGGATCTCTCGTCGTGGCCAGCCACCCTCCCTCCATCTGCGTTCAATAAGGTCCCCTGCAGCCTACTGTCTGAGACGCCATCTTAGTTAGCCCTCAGGGAAATTCCAAACCCAATAAAAGCAGACCCCCTGCTGTGGAGCGGATCCTGACTTCTAGCAACCCTGTAGGACGGAGTAGAAGAGCCCCATAGGGTTTCCTAGGCTGTAACTCTCACGAGAGGGACACTTCCCTGGAGAAGGACATCACGCTTGGTAAAGCCAGCGAAAAGGGATAGACTGACACATGGCTACAACGGTGGCCTTAAGCAGGCAAACTCTCGAGGGTGGCGCGGCACCAGGCACCGTTTGCTTCTGTTGCACGCAGGGTCGCTATGAACTGGAACTGACTGGATGGCGCCTAACAACAGCCCTTGTGGAAGCAGACTGCCACATCTCTCTCCTACGGAGTGGCTGCTGGGTTCAAACCACCAACCTGTGGGTTAGCAATCAAGCGTTTAACTGCTGCACCACCAGGGCTCCTTATGCTTCTTGGCCTCAGTGACCTTTCTGTCGCTCAGTCTCACCCTGGCCAATTAACTGTGACCAACGAGGCCCTGGGCTGGGAAGGGAGTGGAGTGGAGGCCTTGTGATTGCCAGGTGAGGCCAGTCATCATCTTAATCTGCATGGCTGGCACTCAGCAAGCATGACCCTAAGCCAGTGCCCCAGGTCCCTGGGATGGGCAGGTGAGTTTGGGCCCATAGGGACAAAGAGGCTTTCTGGAATGGCCCACTTTTCTCTCTCCCTCTCTTTTTTTTTTTTTTTTTAAATTATGGTGAGTGTGTGGGAGCTCTGGTGGTGTAGTGCCTAAGGCACTTAACTGCTCACCAGAAGGCTGGCGGTTCAAACCCACCAGCCACTTCTTGGAAGGAAGATGGGGCAATCTACTTCCATAGTGATACTGCCTTGGAAACGCAAGGAGGGGTCGCTATGAGTCGGGTCCGACTCGATGGCACATAATAACAACAACATAGGTAACAGGTCACTGATCATTTCCACAATCTTCCCGAGTACAGTTCCGTGACACCGACTACATTTATCATGCTGTTCAACCATCACCATGAACATCAGAGTTTTTCCATCACCCTCAACAGAATCTCAATGTCTCCCATCACACCCCCAACCCGTTAACCACTAATAAGCTTTGGTCTCTACCCAGGTACCTAGTCTAGGTATTTCATGTAGGTGGGAGCATACAACATTTGTCCTTTCGTGACTGACCCGTTTCACTTGGTGTAACGGTTTCAAGGTGTATCCAAGCTGTGCCATGTGTCAGGGCTTCATTTCTCATTATGGCTGAGGTATTCCATCGTGCGGATGGACTCCACTGTGTTTATCCATTCACCTCTTGATGCACATTGAGATTCTTTCCACCTTTGGCTATATGGGTAATGCTGCAGTGAACTTGATAAAAAGTATCCTTTTACTTCTTTTGGGCATATACCTAGGAGTGGCATTGCTGAGTCATGTGGTAATTCTATGTTTAGCTTTTTGAGCAAATGCCAAACTGTTTTCCACAGCAGCTGCACCATTGTATATTTCCACCAGCAGTGGCTGAAGGTTCTAGTTTCTCCACATCTCCAACACTTATTATTCTCCATTTTTTTTAACCATAGCCATCATAATGTGTATAAAGGGCTATCTCATTGTGGTTTTGATTTGCATTTCCCTAATGACTAACAAAGAAGCTCTGGTGGCGTGGAGGTTAAAACACTGGGCTGCTAACCAAACGGTCAGTGGTTGGAATCCACCAGCTGCTCTGTGGAAGAAAGACAAGGCAATCTGCTTCTGTAAAGATGTACAGCCTTGGAAACCCGAGGGTGCGGTTCTACTCTGCCTTGTAGGGTTGCAATGAGTCGGAATCGACCCCATGGCAGTGGGTTTGGGTTACTGACTAATGATGCTGAACATCTTTCCGTGTCTTGTTGACCACTTGAATTTCTTCTTCGGTGACTTGTCTATTAAGTGCAGAATCGGTCACTTCTTGTGGCTGTACCCCTTTTGTGGTTTCAGCCCACCTGCCCTAGTGTCTCTGGGCAGGGAAGGTGAGTCTTGGGCACAAACAACCAAGAAGCTTCCTGGTCTAAGCCTCTTGTTGTGGCTGAGTCCCTTGTGCCCATAGCACCCACTCTGGTTCTTAGGTCCAAAGGGGACAAAGGAGCTTCCCAGCTGAGGCCCCTCTGACCTTGTGCGTCTGCCAGCTTACATGCCCGGGATGCTGGCTCTGCTCGCCTTATGTCTTCTACACATGGCTGACCTTCTCAGAGCATCCCAAGGCTTCTTCTGAGCATCCCGGGTCTCCCAGCATTACGTGGAGAACCTCATAACCGGGACAGAGTCAGGAACCAGAGCCCCAGACATCACAGCAGCCTGAGGGAGCCCTTTCCTGCCACGGCTCCTGTCTCCCCAAGTTGTAAGGTACATGGTTAGACTTTGCCACCATTGGAGCCCTGACTGTAAGTCTAAGCTAAGTCTTGGGGAGCCCCTATCTCCCCAAGTTGTAGAATGCGTAGCTGGACTTGGGCCCCATTGTGACCCTCTGTGGGTGCTCAGGGGGTCCCTACTATCTTCATGCACAATATTGAGACCACTTTAGTTGTTCTTTAGTGATGATGAGCGTTTCACTTTTTCTTTAAAGGAGACCAGCTCCTACCCCTGGTGAAATCACAGGGGCGACAGGGCCTGGGTTCTTCTTCAGCCTGGTGGACTCGACCCACTTCAGTCATGGAGGCAAAGGATGGTTGCTGTGGGAGGAGGGCTGTCCCAGTCAGGCCTCAGCCCCCAAGTCCCTTTCCACACCTCTGACATTGCAGAGCACGGGACACCTGTTCTGGCAAACACATCTAGAACCCTGCTTGCTCCCTCCTGCCCTCCACCTGGGGTTCACCTGACCTCTCCCGGGTCAGATGAGAGCCCCAATCCACAAGCTAATGTCCAAGAAGATAAGAGTCAAGTCAAGGCAGAACCCCAGGCCCACGCTGCTTCAGGGGCAGGTCTTCAGACAAGGGCTGAACCCAGTGAACTTCCGATGCTGACTGAGTGCTGACAAAGCACGTGACTTCTGCCGTTGCGACCTCTTTCTGCTCTCACAACAGCTGTGGGTCCAGCCAGGTTCCCAGTCCCACTTGTATCCTTGGTGGGTTACCTCAGTGTCTTCAGGGCGCTCAGTCAATAGAGACGCAAACCAGGTAGCCATTTTGATTTTTGAGTGCTGGGAGGGCCGGCAGATCCAAGGGCTGTGAGAAGGGCTGGGTGCCCTCTCGACCGTGGGGTGAGCCGTGAGCAAAGGTTGGGAGACTCCTCACAAAGCTTACAAAGCTGAGGAGGCCACTTGCCGGCCTGCTGACAAGGCCGCCCACTCACCCGAAGCAGGAGGGAGGAAGAAGTTCTGGAGTTTCGAAACCAGGTTCTGGGGGGGGCTCTCTTCTGCTTTTCGCTCTCCACTTGACCCCAAAGGGTTTGTTGGAAGGAAGCCTCCTCCAGAGACGTGGGAAATCACAACATGGACAATGAGGCCTGTCTGAGTGGAATTTCCCTTCCAGGCACTTTTGGGAGAGTCTCCCCCTCCTTCTTGCCAAGGGTAAACATCTGTCCAGAAAGGGGCTTTTGGGGTCCGGCTTCAGGAAGGCAGGCCAGGCCTAATGCCGAGAGGACGGCGGCCCCTCCGCGGACCTGGGAGGACTCCTGGAGAAGTCCTGGCCTTCAAGTAGGACAGGGCAGGTGGCCGGGGTCCCAAGAATGCAGGGCCGGGTGCCCCTCAGGTCCTGAACCCCCGACCCCCGTGGCAGGGCACCCGGAAAGCGAATCCAACACGAGGCCCTCCGTCACCGAGCCAGGGTGGCCAGAGGTGGTGTTTACCTTGGGGGCCAGGTCCGAGATCTGGCTCCAAGGCCGCGGTGCACGACCCGCGCCTGGGCGGCGGGCCCCGTCTACACGGCCCAGAGCGCGCAGTGGGATGCGGGGCGGGGCCCGGGTCACCGAGGTCGGGACAGCGTTGGACCGCCCCGCCCCGGGGGAGTGTCCCGGGCGCGGCCGCCTCCTTAAGGGCCGGTAGCGCGTGGGCCGGGGTGGGGAGCGGAGCCGGCGCGGGACCCGGAGCGCACCCGGAGCGAGACCCGGAGGGCACCCGGAGCCGTGCAGCATGGCGTCGTGCGGGGCGCGGCCGTGGGCGCTGCTGCGGCTGGTGCTGCTGGCGGGCGCGGCGCGGGCCGGCCTCTACTTCCGCCCGGGCCAGAGCTGCTACCGCGCCTGGCGCGGGGACCCGCTGGCGGCGCAGGGCCGCAGGTGGGGGCCGGGCGTGGGACGGGGGCGCCCCTCCTCGGGCTCCGGGGCCCAGACCCCGCGGCCCGAGAGCTTGGGGTCAGAGCCAGCTGGCCTTTGCGGCGCTGGACAGGCCTCTGAGCTCCACCTGCCTGGCGTCTGGGCCCCGGCCCTAGCCTCCTTATTTTGGAGAGCTTACCGCACTTCTCTCATGGCTAAGGACTGTCTCCTTCCCCTTCTTAGTGCTGTAGGCCCCAGGAGGGTGGGAAAGGCGTGAGCGCCAGGGTGGGCCCCTGTGGCCACGGTCCCTGGGGGTGCCCCACTTCCCAGAGGCCCCTGGGCTGATTTGGGTGGTGCTGCTCTCTGCCTAGAACCTACCCTCGGCCTCACGAGTACCTGTCACCGTCGGACCTGCCCCAGAGCTGGGACTGGAGGAACGTGAAGGGTGTCAACTATGCCAGCATCACCAGGAATCAGCACATCCCCCAGTACTGTGGCTCCTGCTGGGCGCACGGCACCACCAGCGCCATGGCAGGTAGGTGCCCAGGACAGCTGGGCTGCAGCACCAAGGCCTGCCTGGCGGCCCCGCACCAGCACAGGGGCCGGCAGGGGCCCAGGGGCCAGGAGCCCGTGACCCCAGGCTGGGGCCAGCCTGGCCCAGGCGTGTCTGAGCCCAAGGGGCTGGCCATACCCCTCGACCCCCACCTCCACTTTCTGAGAAGCAGCTGCCCACAAGGGCACAGCTGGATTGTGGGGGGTCTCCACAGACGAGTGGTCCCAGCAAGGCCCGGAGTGGCAGGCAGGACCAGGCTGAAGCCTAGCGAGAAACAGCCCCCCGGTGTCCTCCCTCCCTGAAAGCTGTGACCCCAGCCACTCTGGACTGAAGCAGAAGTGCCCAGTCACCCAGCCCCTGCGGCATTTGGGGACAGAGAAGTGAAAGTGTCTCCAGCAGCAGTTAATATTTGAAGGGGTGGAGTGAGGGCCGGTGGCTGCAGCCTGACTTTGCCCTGGCCCAGCCCCACCCACGGATCAGTCTTTCTGGTCTGAACCCTAGGAGTGCTGCTGGCACAGTGGTAAGGCATTTGGCTGCTAACCAAAAGGTGAGCAGTTGGAAACCACCAGCTGCTCTGAGGGAGAAAACTGAGGCCGTCTGTTTCTGTGAAGACGGACAACCTTAAACACCCTGTGGGGCAGTTCCACTCTGTCCTATAGGGTCACTAGGAGTCAGAATCCACTTGATGGCAGTGGGTTAATCTGAGCCTTAGTCTGGTGGCACAGTGGTTAGCACCCAGCTGTAATAAGAGGTCAGTAGTTTGAAGCCATCAGCGCAAGGGAGAACAGTGGGGACTCTCTGCTTCTGAAAAGATTGACAGCCTTGGAAACCCTATGGGGCAGTTCCACTCTGTCCTCTAGGGGCGCTATGAATCCACTCGAATCAACTCGATGGCAAGGGGTGTGGGTTTAATCTGAACTTTAACCTCTGGCCACAGTGGGCTGCAGGCCTGTGGTGAAGGGACCCAGGGGAACTGGAAGGCACTCCCTGAGGAGCAGGCCGCCTGCTGCAATTGGCCAGAGAGAGCGAGCGAGCGAGAGCATCCATTCCTGCTGTAAAACAGGTCTCCAAACCAGCCGTGGGCCTCAGTCGGCCAAGGCCTGGGCGGGTGGCTGCACCCTGTGCCTGGGGTTCCCCACTGGGGACTCTCCGCGGCCAGCATCCTCCCCAGGCAGGCCTGTTGTAGGAGTGGCCTTGGTTAGCGGGTTTCAGTAACAAGTGTGGTTGCTGGCCCTTGCCCAGGTGTGCTGATCTCACTGAAGCCTGCCAGCTGCCCCGATGGGCCCGGATTTGCAGGTGAAGAAACTGAGGCTCCTTGACGGGGAGACCTTGTGGACCCCGTCTTTAGGACCAGGGATTTCTGCTCTGGGGTGGAATCAGGACCAGACAGGCTGTCTCCGGACCCTGAGCTGCTCAGCTGTAGCTGTGGCATCTGGCGAAGTCTCCCCAGTGGCCCAACTCCATTTCCCCTTGGGGACCCGTGAGAAGGAAGCCCCTGGACGCAATGCAGTTCTGAACCTTCCGGAAGGTGAAGGAAGGAGACTGGTGGCCTGAGGCCCCACTGTGAAGTGCGGAGCCCCAGGAGAGGCTAGGCAGGCCCCAGAGAATGCAGGACCAGAGCCTGCACCCCAAGTGGGCATTGAGGCGTGGGGCTGAGAGATGGGGGGAAAGGGCAGAGGACTGCCCATTGAGGAACTGAAAGGGCCTCTGTGGGGGAGGATGAGGGTGGGGCAAAGAGGAGAGGGGAGAAGTGGAAGGGTGGCCTGGGGCGGAAGCCCTGAGGGATCTTAAGGAGGGACCGCTATGTGCAGTGAGCAGTGAGCCTGTCAAAGACTGCAGGTGGCTGGAGGGAGTGCAGGCCCAGGGGCTCCACCCCACTGTGTGCTGGAGTGACGTCTCGGTAGACGTGGCTTCGGTCCTTTACTTGGGCCTGTAACATCCCCCAGCAGCAGGGCCCTGAGAAAGCAGAAGGCCCCAGAAGGGGCCTTCCATGGGCACCCATCCATTGGTCACCCAGCCCACCTGGGCCACAGTTCCCAGGGGTAACCGTCAGTGCCCCACCCGAGACGCTGCATGGTGTGCAAGCAGGAGGCCCAGCCTCTCACTCACTGCCTTGTTGGCGCCAAAGCGAGCCAAGTTCTCCCCAGAGATCAAGTGAGCGGGACACCCCAGGGCCCCATCTGCCCCCAGTGCTGCCTCACGTCTGGCTCCACCGTCTATAGCCTCTCCCCTTCTCCATCACGAGCCCACTCCAGCTCCTGACACCTGCACTGCCCACTGGGGCCCCCACGGTGACAGCTACAGTGGGCAGCATGTCCTAGTGGCTGGACTGCATCTCAGGACAGTTTCCTCACTGTCGACCACGCTCTCCTGCCACCTCCCTCCTGCCAGCCTCTGAGCACTGGGCCTCGCCTCTCAGGACCCCACCCTGAGCTTAGCCTTTGCTTCTCACGCTCACGGCTGAAGAGCCCTCCATCCATCCGTCTCCCCCCACCCCACAGCTGCCCCATCTCAGTGGATGCGATGTCACACGTTGGTTCCTGAGGGCAGCCTAGGTCACCTGTGCCCTCTTTGTCGTGTGGCCCTCACACGACCCACTGATAACTTCGCCTGTTCTTCCTTCAAAACACGTCAGCCTGCAGCTTCCCCCTGGCACTGTCACACCCACGCCTTCCACCTGGACGCCCGCACCAGCTTCCCACTCGGGCTTCCTGCTTCCGCCCTGGCCTCCCTCCTGTCGTCTCAGACACTGAGAGTGAGCCTGTCAAAACCCGAGGCAGGACACGTTGCTCTACTCGGAACCCTCCAGCGGTCTCCCTCCCTCCCCACCCCCTGTGGCCATAGCCTTATACGCTCGGGCCAGGGCGCTGGGGAGAAGGAGGCCCCGGAGGCAGGGCATTCGTAGGCGGGTGGCTGGCACGCAGCAGCCTGGCCAGGGCTCGGGCTCATGGGTGGCAGGGGGTGGCGCCTGGCCTGACCCCACCCCATCCCTGCAGACCGGATCAACATCAAGAGGAAAGGCGCGTGGCCGTCCACCCTGCTGTCTGTGCAGAACGTCATTGACTGCGGTGACGCAGGGAGCTGTGAGGGTGGCAGCGACCTGGCGGTGTGGGTCTATGCCCACACGCATGGCATCCCCGACGAGACCTGCAACAACTACCAGGCCAAGGACCAGGGTAGGCCCTGCCCTCCACCCCTCCCAGCACCCCGGAGGCAGGCCCCAGCCGCGCGAGGGGTCAGGGCAGCGGTGGGGCTGGCACCCTCCTGGCAGGGAGGCTGTGGGAGCCCCGGCAGCCCCGTCCTCACAGGATGCCATGACCTTCGTCCCGGGGAATGAATGGAGACACTGGGGCAAAGCGTCGGAACTCCGGTGTGCCGGCCTTTGGGGTGTTTCTGTTTTTAGCGTTTTACTGTGATTTGGGCCAAATTCTACAGAGCAGATCCATTTCCCATTCAGCAGCTCATGCACATTGCCTCCTGACGCTGATTGCAGTCCCTGTGACGTAACAGCTCTCTTCCCACTTCCTCCCTGTTACTTTTTCCCTGCGCCCTTTTCTGTGCATTCCTGCCCCCTGAGGCGCCTCAGAGCTGGAAGCCAGCAGTGAGGGACCGGCCTGGGCCTGCTGTGGGGGTGGGGGTGGGGGTGGGGCGTGGGACCACTGTGCTCAGCACGCTCCTCTTGGGCTGTTCCCCTTCGCCACTGGAGGAAAGCCAAGTCCCAAGCCTGTCACTGGTGCCTTCAAGTCACGGTCCCCGTCAGCCCACCCTCACAGCCAGTGTGGAGAGCTGGGGAGTGCTTGAGAAAGGTGGGGCGGCAGGGAAAGGGTGCGGGACACCTGGGTGCCCTCCTCCCGCCACACCCCCACCCCAGCCTCCACAGCTAAGGTCTGCTCCCAGCTCCGGGCCCTCCGAGGTGGCGTGGGCATCCCTTGCCCCACCTGCCAGCCGTGCTGCTCAGGCGAGTCCTCTGGTAGATGGCGGGCTGGCTGGTCCCCGGCGCCGACCTGCCCTACCCTACCCGAAACAGTGTTGCCACCCTAGGCTAAGCCCCTCTGACTCCCCCAGCACGACAGAGCAGGTGGGACCACAGCCTGAGGGTTTGCAGTAACCAGACCTGTCTGAACTGGTAATGTAGCCACCCACCCACCATTTCCAGTTGTGCTGAGAACTGGGCATTTGTGTCCAAGGGACAGTTAACCCAACAGTTTCACCCTCAAGGAGGGTACTGTCCGGGGGAAGAGGGGGCAGGTGTGTGACCATGCAGACCCAGGTGACAGCAGAGCACAAGTGGCGGACAAGGCCAGAGCAGGGCAGATGGAGGGCGGGGGGCAGGCTGGCGGGGGTGGGAAGCAGGAAGGGCTCACAGCCTGAGGGTTTTTTCCCTTTAATTCTCATGCCTCCCCTGACCAAGGTAACAGCATAGTTCTTTTTCAAATACATTATCCCATTTATTCAGTAGCCAGCAATGCTGTTGGTGGTAGCCTGTGATAGAACCATCCCATTACGTGCTAATGACTTGATTACACTCCATCTTCAGCTAGAGTATGTGAAAGGACTTCACAGGGCAGGGAAGAGCTGACCTCTGCGCCTGTTGTTGCTGGCCTGGCGGGTGGCCTGGAGTCGGTTCTGACTTGGAGCCCGCGGAGCGGCTGCTGGGCCTGCGCCCCCCTCGCCATGCTTGCCGTGCGTGGGCCCGCCGTTGCAGCCATGTGTCAGTCTGTCTCATGGAGGGTCCTCAATCTGCTCCTTTACCAGGGCCGGCCCCTCCTGAGAACATGTCCAGACACCCGAGAGCAAGGCCAGCAGAAAGGGGAGCGTTAGCTACTGAACGGGAGGCTGGGGCGGGGGCGGGCGGCCTTGGGGGGCCGGGCCCCTGCTGAGCGGGGCCGAGCAGACTCCCCTGCTGACACCCCTCCCCCTCCCCCCCCCGCAGATTGTGACAAGTTTAACCAGTGTGGCACGTGCACAGAATTCAAAGTCTGCTACACCATCCAGAACTACACCCTGTGGAAGGTTGGCGACTACGGCTCCGTCTCCGGGCGGGAGAAGATGATGGCGGAGATCTATGCCAACGGCCCCATCAGGTAGGAGCACCTCTGTGCCAGGCCAGCGGCCCGCTTGCGGCCCCCTCCGTCTGGCCAGGCTGACTCACCAGGCTTGAGACCCAGCTACCACAAGACCCATCTCAGCTCCGTAGCTTTCTCCAAAGGAAGGTGAACTATTAATGAGTTTGCCTCCCCAGGATTGGTAAGCTTTAACAAGTCTGTATGTACATACATGAACAAGGAGCCCTGCTGGCAGGGTGGTTAGGCACTCGCTGCAAACCACAAGGTTGGTGGTTCAAACTCACCCAGAGGCTGTGCAGAAGAGACCTGCTGATGAGCTTCCATAAAGATTAACCCGTTGTCACTGAGTCAATGCCAACTCACGGTGGCCCTACCGGACAGAGCAGAACTGCCCCATAGGGTTTCCAAGGCTGCCGCCTTTGTCCTATGCAGCAGCTGGTGAGTTCAAACCAGTGGCCTTTTGGTTAGCAGCTGAGTGCTTAAGCACTGCACCACCAGGGCTCCTCTGTAAAGATGACAGCCTAGGAAACCCCGTGGGGCAGTTCTACTGTCACACAGGGTTGGGGAGTCGAAACTGATTCAATGGCACCAAACAGAATGTATGAATACATGTGAAGGGGGTACAAAGCTGTGCCAAGTGCTTTGGGCAGGGTCATGCAGTTTCAGGAGAGAGGATGCTAAGTGAGGAACCAGTGTGCCCTCAGACTCACCTGGTAGGCCCTCTAAGCTGGGTTGAATGATGGGGGCAGATCACGCTGGAGGGCAGCCTGGTCTTAGATCACTGCTTGTTGGACTGCTTGCCCTCAGCTGCGGAATCATGGCCACAGAGAGCATGGACAACTACACCGGTGGCATCTACGCGGAGTACAATGTGGCGGCCTTCATAAACCACATCGTCTCGGTGGCCGGGTGGGGCGTGAGCAACGGCACGGAGTACTGGATCGTCCGCAACTCGTGGGGCGAACCCTGGGTGAGCGCCTCTGCCGGCCCTCTCTCCCCAACAGGAAGTCCTGAGTGATCATGCCTGCTCAGGGACACGCTCAAAAACCCCGACTTCGGGGCTGCAGTCCCGTGACTTCCGCTTGTCACCAGTGGTCTGTCCCCACTTTCTTAAGCACACGTCTAGAATGTCCCTTTTCAGTGGTTCTACCGGCTTGGTGGCCCAGACTCTGGCCCTGACACGGGGGTGTCCTGCTCGCACCTGGGGCCTCGCCTTGGCACTAGCTGCACTTTGGGGTGGATGCTCCCCTGCTGAGGGCCGTCCTGTGCACTGCAGGGTGTTTAACATCCAGGGCTCCTACTGCCGGAGGTCGGCCGGCCCCGTACCCCCAACCTCACGCCGCGTGCTGACTTTGCCAAATGTCCCTCGCAGGACCAGCAGCCCTGCGTGAGAACCACAGTTTTAGGGGTTTCAGTTTAGTTTATTCCCTTTCAGCCACACACTCCTTTTCCTGTCATGGTTTCACACTCTCCCATCAGGCTGTGTAGTTTTTTCAACTACTGTTGAGTTGGGTGAAGTTAATTAGCGCCGAGTGGAGTTTCTTGGACCTGGCATCCACCGTGAGCAGCGCTGGGCAGAGGTTAGTGTGGGAGACGAAGTGCCAACCCTGCGTGCTGAGTGGCAACGAGCAGGGTGTTAATAGGCAGATAAACGTTCTGTCACATTCATCAGCTTTTGGCAAACAGGTCCCCGTACCCCTCACGTTAAATATCAGCCAAGCCCCGTACTTCACCAAAGGCATTTCTCATCGGGGTCATGGGAAGGGCTGGAGGGGAGCTGGGGCGACTGGATACACAGGTGGAGGCCGAGAGCACCACGCACCTGTCCGCCGCGAGCGGAGGGGGTCAGGGGAGGGAGACTGGGGAGGTCACTCGATGCCCCACTTGTCCCCACAGGGCGAGAGAGGCTGGATGAGGATCGTCACCAGCACCTACAAGGGCGGGAAGGGGAACCACTACAACCTCGCCATCGAGAAGGCCTGCACTTTCGGGGACCCCATCATTTAAGGTGCCATCTCTGGAGGAGAGCCTGTTACGCATACGCTCATGGATGTAACTGGGGTGGGGGCGGGAGGAGCTGTAGTTATCCACACCAGCGGGGCTGCCTGGTGGGAGGGCATGGGGTCATATTCGGTCTCTGACGGCCGAGTGTGGGTCTGGGAGGGGCACCTGCCAGGATGTGGACAGTGCTGTGGCAGAGTCCCTCAGAGTCTGAAGGGGGAAGACTTGAATGGTCACCGGGATGCCTTGGCAAGGATGGGCTCTGCGGATATTAGCTTGTTTGGTCTCGGGTTTCAACTGATGGCTTTGCATTTTGTCTGGCAACCGCGGTCAATTCGTGGCAAAGTCATTCAGGTTTTTCACCAGTTGTTATGTCACCCTGGAGTCAACGGGGAGAAGGGAGGTAATTTCTAATTGCCCAGGTCATGAATAAAAAATGACTTCACACAAGAACTGAGCCTGAACGTGCCTGACACACATGAGCACAACCCAACGTGAACTGCCCTTTCCGCCGGCAGAAAGCTCTTTTTAAAAACTAGCTTTAATTTACTAACAGTAATTACAATAAAACAAGGATTCACTGATGTGCTTCTGAAAACATGTAAAAGTCAACTTAGAAGGCAGTTCATTTTGACATCTGTTCTTACAGGTTACACTCTCATGTCTCAGTTTCTGAGCCTTTCTAGCCCTGGGCCCGAGCATGGGGTCCTGCAGGAAGGAAAGCCCAGTTCCCACACCAGGGAGACAACATGGTCACCAGGGTGACAGGGTGGCACCAGACTCACAACAGAGAGGGCGTCCATGGTTCCCCACACCTACTGACAAGTACCCCCTCTTCCCAGAGTCCATTTCCAGGGTGCTGGGCTAGCCTCTGCGAGAGTTTCTTGAAAGGGCTTTTCCACGACTGTTCTGGAAGGTTCCGTCTCAGTTCTCATCAGTTCACCATGATGAAGTTAGATTTGCAGTGAGCTTTAACAGAAGAGAAACGGACTGGGTTAGAAACAGGCGGGAACACGCGTCCTGTCGTGAGGGCACGCTGGCGCACCTACCGATGAATTCCGTGACAGGGTCATGCTCGCCTTCGGTTCTGATGGTGCCGGCGATGCTGTCATTCTCCAGGATGGGCAGGAAAAGCTGCACGAAGTCGGAGGTGTACGGAGGCGCGATGACATCCAGCACCTAGGAGGGAAAGCTCCGGGCTGCACGCTCCTCTCAGCAGCACGTGCGGGCATCGCACAGACAAACGGAGGGAATGGCCACGGTGGGGACGCAGCACCCACCCTTCCACTGGCTTCCTGCTGCCAACACCAGCCTGGAGCAGGAAGAGCCCAGTGTGGCAATGGTAAAAGCCCGGGCTCCAGCAACGGGCAGGGAGGCAGCGTGGGGTCAAGAGGTCTCACTGTCTCCTCATGGTTACCAGGAAGGAGTTCTCAGAGGTAGACATTAAACGGCTCCCTTACACCCCCAGCAGGCAGCGTGAGGGTAACCAGTGTGAGCCAAACAGTGTGGTGCTCACCTCAGTGACAAAATAGCGAATGAGGGAGATGTCGGTGTCCAGCTTCTCCAGACACTTCCGGATGTAACTGACCACAGGAAGTACATAACCTCGGCTCAGCAGGTGAACCATCCTGTCCAACAGGGTCTTCTTCAACTCGAGCTGCAGGCACGGGGGGCCGAGGAGCCCGTCAGAGCGGGACCCCACCCCGTGCAGTCCCCACGGGCCCCGGGGCCACTGCTCACCTGCTCCATCACATCCAGCTGCGAGTGCTCCGTCTCAAAGAGCTTAACGAGCAGCTGCAGGACCTGGGGGTGCAGGAGCTGGTGGCAGGTGCTGATCTGCAAACAGGCCGGGCGCCTCGCTGAGCAGGTGGCCGCACGCCGGCTCACGCTCGCTCAGTGCACAGGCAGCAGCTGCCACTGTTCCCACCACCGAAGCCAGGGCATCGCTGACGAGGACGGCCCGGACTTAGGCAGCTTCCAGGCCAGTCCTCATTCTCCCGCTAACTCTTAGTGAAAACAGAGACATCTCAGGCTCAGTGGGACAACCTGCGTTTACTGGGGAGACAACTGGCTTGGCAGAGGACGTCTTCCAATCGTGGAAGTGCCACTGCTGCGCTGGCAGCACAGGGACCCCGGGCACGCCCGCCTACCTCATCCAGCAACGCCAGGTGGACCGGGGTGTGGTCAGTCTGCAGCTGAAAGTACCTTGGTTCTGATACGGTCCAGTCCACCCACTTTAAGACACCCATCGCCACCACTGGGAACCTACAAGCGAACGAGGGAGTGCTGCCTGTTAACAGACACTTTAAAACACCAACACAGGCTGAGAAAGCACTAAGGAAGGGTCAGGAAAGTTTTTTCTCTCTGTCTCTCTCTCTCTCTCTCCCACACACACACCCCCGCCCCCATCAAACCGCCCCATCAAGCCCCTCTCCACTCGCCTTCCAAGTGGGAAGCTGACCAGGGAGAACAGTTTGATGACATCAGTGCCCTCTCAGGCCCCCTGCTCAGTTCTCCGTTCCCTTTAAACTACAAACTACAGCGCACGAAGGCCAGCGCTCAGGGGGCCTGGTGAGCAGGGCTGACGTCTACCTGGCCGCCTCCACCTCTACAATAAATGAATAGGCAGCAGGTCTGGGGACACCTACTGACCTCATGACATAAACACAAGTCAGCCCAAGCTAGCAAGTCTTCGCCGGTCAAACTTTTTACCATCAATAACCCCCTTTCTTCAATCACTTTCCTAAGCCTGGTTGGTGTTCCTGTTTCTTAGCCCATTTTGTGAACACCTGAAAATCACGCCAGCTGCCAAAGCCACTCAAAGTTGCCTGCGTCCATCCGAGGAGAGACAGCAGGGTCAGACGAACGAGGGCTCTGGTGCTGCGGTGTCTGCTTCTCTCTCTCTCGGCGCTTCCCCCCAGGACTGTGCCGAGCAGGGTTCCCCCCACCCACCTGATGCACTGGTATAGCGTGCTCAACTCGGCCACCAGCTCTGAGGCCCCTTTGTTCTCATTGCAACACAGGCTGTGAACAGTCTCCACAGCTTTTGATGTTGACTTCAGTTCATCTTTATTGATGCTGACGCGCTTGTTCTGAAACACACAGAAAGAGGCAGCTCCCGGTGGAGCAGACGTCCACTGCTGGGCTTATGGGAACCCTCACTAACTGCAAACCAAGGCGCTCTGGTGGAACACTGGCTACAGCATTTGGCTGCCAATCCAAAGGTTGGTAGTTCAAATCCTCTAGCTGCTCCATGGAAGATAAGGCAGTCTACTTCCATATAGACTGTTGTTGTTATGTGCCATTGAGTCAGCCCGACTCATAGCGACTTCTCCTTGGGTTTCCGAGGCAGTATCACTACGGAAGTAGATTGCCCAAACTTCCCTCAGAGGAGTGGCTGGCCATAAAGACTATAGCCCTTAAAACCCTCTGGGGCAGTTCCATTTTGTCCTCTAGGGGCACTGTGAGCCAGAATCAACTCCATGGCAGTGGGTTTGGTATGGGCTTTGCTTCCATGAAGAATACAGCCTTAGAGACCCTGTGGAGCAGTTCCACTCTGTCCTCTAGGGGTGCTGTGAGAGTCGGAATCGACCCCACGGCAGTGGGTTGGGGCGTGTTTGGCTCTGCAAACCCACTTCCCTATTTCTGATGCCAGGAGTCAATTTGTCAAACCTCACAGTCCCACAATGTATAGGAACAAAAACCCAGTAAGACTGGTATCTGGCTGTGGCTTCGTTTCTTTAGTCAAATTCACATTACGGTCTGCAGAAGGACTGTAGCCACTACTACACACATTCCTTGAGGCGTTTAGCGCTTTGACTGCTCTACGCACAAACAGGACAAGTGACACTTCTGACACTAGAACGATTCAGGGTTTCCTGCAGCCCAGACTCCCCAGTCACACCATGGCAGAGGAGGGGATCTGTCCATGGAGGTCCGAGTGCCCACAGCTCTGCTCATACCTTCTTCCAGGCCTCCACCACGCTGGCCGCATATGCCAAGATGTGGATGTACTTATGCTTATGGTCCTGGTTGATCCTGGCCCCTGGTTTAAAGAGCGACTGCATGAACAGGTCCAGGAAGGCTGGCACTCGGATCTGCAGATACAACAGTGCTCCTCTGAAGGGAACCAGGACACGACGGGGGGTCCACACTCACTCACAGACACGACGTATGGTGGTGCCCGTCTGTTCGACGGCCAGCCCCAGCAATGCCCTGTACACAGCAGGTGCTCAAATATGCCTGAGGGCTGAGAGTGTGATGGGGGCAGAAGCTACCAGAAAAGTGACGGCTATATTTCAACAGGAAACCGTACTCCATTAACTTAGGAGAATTACAGAAGCATGGACATTCCGATATAACCCTTCCAACAGTATCAGAATCACTATGGTTTATGAAAGTGAGAAGCGACTTGGGGGAAAGGAAGTCTCGATGCTCAGGGGACCCTCAGTTGAGGGTGTGCAAACTTCAGGACTGGGTCGTGGTGGAGGCCGAACGGCATCAGGAAGTAGCAACCCGTCCGTGTAGATCGTAGGAACACCGAATGTTTCATCACCTACGTATTTACCATGAAAAGAAAGGAAAAAAAGGCGAGAGGCAGCTTACCAGCTCCACAGGGGGCGGGTCCATGCTGGTGAACATCTTGAACAGGACTGTGATGTCAGCGGGGTTCAGGGCACCTTTGGACAGCATTGCACCCAGGGCCTGGCACGCCCGGGGGTAGGAGGCAGCCGTGCCCAAGGCCAGTGTGATCTGGCTCGCGTCGTGGCCCCTGGCACAGTCACACACACCCGTGAATGGGGGGGCTGTGCACTGCTGGGGCCCCGCTTCTCCCATTTCTGTGGTTTGCCACAGTCACACACACCCATATGAATGAGGTGGCTGTACACTGCTGGGGCCCCGCTTCTCCCATTTCTGTTGTTGCCAGTATACTGACTAGCTGACCCGTAAAACATGTTGAGCCAACTGGGCAAGGAGGACCCCAACAGAGCTCGCAGACTCTATCAAAAACCCCCCACATTCTAGAAATGCCTCATGAAGA